GACAACAGGGATAGGTCTACATACCTCAACCCATATAATCCAGATTACCATAAAACACCAGTAACCAGTGGTCAGTTTGACCCTTTTGACCCTAGTTACCGACAGCAGTTGTCGCAGACAGTGGGTCAGCAATCTGGCAACTACCCGAGAAACGGTCAACCCTATGTTGGTGACATCATCAGCAATGAGGTTGTTCCCAAACTCTCTGCCCAGAACATTCCTGACAGTGTTAACTACTACTGGAGGATAGCTGGCTTCACTAACTGTACAGAACCCTGTGGGAGAGGTGAGTGAATTTCACTAATAATGTAGACAAGTGCTTGAAAATAGCTAGTCTGTGTGTGAAGTAAGGTAGTCTTTTCCTCATAACGTAGACTACCATTTGAGGATGAGTTCAGGTAGCAATGAATTCGGAAAGGTTCACAATAACATCTGATAAATCCTCAAGATACCGACTGCCAGAATGGCTCTCTCCGGTCATTCTTGTTGTTGCTGCAGGAGGTAGCTGACTTCACTAGCTGTACCTCACTCTGGACTAAGACATTATTAAGGGGTTTGCGGGTGTGGGAAAACATTAAATAGAAAAAGATAGAAAACGTGTTGGCTTGGTTAATTACATTTCGTTAGTTAAAAAATATTCCAACAGCTGCTGTAAATGACATCTCCAATATTATGTAGTCTGTAACGCATGACATTAAGTCATGGCTGGGTTCCTTGTGTTCTTATTGTTAATCAAACAACACTTCATAGAAATATAAGCAGAAAGAGGGTAAGTTGCCTTTTCTAAAGATGAGTTTCAAAGGTTAATCACCAAGTGATAATCACCAAGTGATTACAATAGACCTACTTAATCCTCTTCATCAGCATTCTGATATAAGGTGTCAATGAGGAGAAAGCAGTAGTTCATGTTCTGAGCCATCTGTCTCAGTTCACACTAGATCTCACCAGCCAGATTTCTATCTCCAAGTCCCTTCATCTTCCAAGTTTTTGTCTGGGTTTGGATTTCTGTGTAGGATACATATGAATTATAATAGTACATTTAGACATCATCACTTATCTGTGCCTCAAATCTGTAATGACATTAGTTAGAAGATCCTGACCATCCATCAGAAATTACGACTGCCTCCAGCATGTAAATCTGTAGACAGGGAGGGGCAAGCTTCTATCTGACTATGTCTACCAACCAAATCATCACCAGGGTGATTTGTCATGTTGCTGGGGACACATGTGACTGACTTCGTGGTCTGAAGGTCAGATTTTGACTCGAGCATGTGTTACCTGGGTAACCCCAGTTGTGGGAAGCATCACCTTTGGGGTGTATTTTTGTAAATTTTTCACCAACACAATAGACTTCCTGGTGAAAGTTTATGGCTTTCATTAGCTGTAAGGTGGGAGGCAGAGTTGTACGGTCATTTGTTAAACCATCGCAATTGTCATTTCATGTCCATCACCTGTGGGGGTCCAGATAGTACAGTACATAGACTAAAGGGACAGATTTACAGGACTAGTAGTGGGAAATAGGTACGTGCAGTGTTACCATTAAACCTAATTATATTAAATCAAATATAACAGATTAGTGGTAAACTGAGTAAATGTTCAAAGAAAAGTGTTTTTTTATGTCCACATCTATTTGATCATTGTATAAAAGTCAAGGTGAAATGTAGTGGTAGGATCCATTGACCCCACTTAATTAAGACCATATTGAATGTAATACAAGAAATATTGAATAATGTGATGTCTATAAGGCAGATCAATACTCATTACAACTAGTATGGACAATTTCATCGACCACCATGTCTAGATATTCCAAAACTAAAACAGGATGTGTATGATAAATGTCAAATATATATAATGTCTATGGGGAATATAAAGCAATAAATTGATTATGGAGAATCTTAAAGAATACCATGTGTGGCAGATATCATCCTGAGTAATACAAGGTCAATCAAGAAATTTCAAGCAATACAAAGTCAAAAGGAAAACTTAATTACACACAAATTTTTATGCCAATAAGTCAATTGAAGTAATTCAGTAACAAATCATAAATGGGGAATCTCAAACAATACTAGGGATATATCTTGCAATGAAATGTCAGTTGGAAATATCAGGCAATTCATTGTCTGTAGGATATCTTTAATTGTTCAGCAATGTTATGGGAATTCTCGTGATATACAATGTTAGTGGGAAATATCTTGGCAATAAGGAGTCAGTGGGAATAAAAAGCAAGGTGATATCTATTAGAAATCTCAAGCAATGTATATCTATTAGAAATCTAAAGCAATGTATATCTATTGGAAATCTCAAGCAATGTATATCTATGGGGGATTTTAACTCATTTCCCCCTGAAGACGCAATGAACTCTTCCAATTCAAATGTTGGAATAATTCATTATGAAATTTCAGGGGTGAATGAGTTGAGCAATACATATCTATGGGAAATCTTAAGAAATCCATATCTATAGAAAATCTTAAGTGATGCATATCTATGGGAAATCTTAAACAATGCACTGTCTGGGAAATTTCAAATGATCTAATACCAGTAAGGTAGATCTAGCAAAAAAAAGGGAATGGAAATCTCAAACAATGTCTGGGAAATCTCCAGCAGTGCAATGTATAGGAAAAATTTGAAGCAATAATTGCATTGTCTTCAGGAATCACAAGCAATACAATGATTTATATGTAAAAATATGTAAAGCTCAGAAATCACAGATTGGTGGTAACTCTGTCGTGTGCTAACATTACCCTGCTAGAGAGTCGGTAGACATGGGTAATATGTAAAATGATCATGCACATTTGTGACACATCAGAGAAACATTTAGATGCACTTTTACGTTAACTTTTTTTTAACTTTCCACTGCATGTTTAAAACATATTTCACAGTTGTCCTCAGTTTATCAGCAATAGCCAAACGTTACAATTTTAAAAACATTTTGTTGAAACATGAAAGAAGGTACTTTTTATTTTCATTGCCTATTGCCGAATAATTGGCACGCCATTTTCCAGCATAACATATTGGAATGAAAGCCTGTTATTGCAAACTGGTGCCACTTAATTGTTTTACCACTATCTCATTTAAGTCCAAAGGAAATTGAAACCAATTGAGAAACAAAAAAGACAGGAAATTTATGTAATGGAATGCCATCTGTTTCCTAAGCTTGATAAATCCCCCATATTTACTTCATAATAATGGACTTTGCTAAGGCTTTCGATAAGGTCAGTCATTCTCTCCTTAACCATAAACTAAAACATTATGGTATACGTGGAAATGTCGCAAACTGGATCGAGAGTTTCCTGACCGGTAGAACTCAGACAGTAGTAGTTGAAGGGGAGAAGTCTGATTTTGTCGATGTCCATTCCGGGGTACCCCAGGGGTCAGTTTTGGGACCCAGTTTATTTCTTTACTTATAAACGATATCCCTGTGGGTCTAAATGCTACAATCTGTTATTTGCAGACGACACTATTGCATATCTAGTTATCAAATCAAACAGTGATGCTGAAATACTTCAAAAAGATCTTGACAAACTAGTGCTCTGGGAAAATACATGGAAAATGATCTTCCTCCCAAACAAATGCAATGTGTTGTCGGTGACTAAAAACACAACTCCAATAGTCCATAATTATACTTTACATGGACACATACTGGAACATCTTAGTCAGGCCAAGTATCTGGGTGTAACACTATCATCTGACCTTAAATGGGTTCACATATAAATACTATCTGCCCAAAAGCAAATTCTACGCTAGGCTTTTTAAGACGAAATCTTAAAATTGGCTCAACATCAGCCAAAGTACAGGCATACAAATCATTAGTTCGACCATCACTTGAGTATGCCTGTACAGTATGGGACCCTCACACCCAAACAAATATTGACAAGTTGGAAATGGTCCAGCGAAGGGCAGCGCGATGTGCTCAATAAGCACAGGTACAACCATCGTACCTCCAGTGTATTAGAAATGTTGGACCACCTAAAGCTGCGCCCTCTAGCAGATAGACGTAGAGATGCTCGTCTGACCATGCTTCATAACATTGTAAACCAGAAAGTTGCTATCGTAAAATCAGACAGATTAATCCCTACAGTTAGAAAATCCCGAACAAACCACCAGTTTTCGTATAAAATTCCCCACTCAAAAACCCAGACCAGAAAGGCATCATTCTTCCCTCGAACCATACACGAGTGGAATAAACTCCCACCTGACATTATTTCGAGCCCCACAACGGAATTATTCAAATCAGCCCTCTACCGTCACTTTTAAAACGCAAATTAGCTGACCATCTCGTATCTTTTAAAAACAATCTCTTTCCATGTTTCACTCCTCGTCTGACATTTTATTTTCAAATTGTTGAAGTTGGTCAGTACCATTTAGAAGTAGAAGAGAAATACTTGCTAATACATATTCTACATTTATTGGAAAAATTAAGAAAAATTGCTTCTTTATTTACAAATTACACATTCCATTGTATTTATCGCCGTTACATTGTTAGCATAGTGTACTCACTGAAAGTCATTTGATTGCAATATCAGTTGTTATACGACCCAATCTCCCACTCCCCCAAACAAAGTGTGGGGGTTATGATAGGTTGCAATTGGCTTATACTGGAACTAGTGTGTCTGTCCAGCTGTCTGTAGACAGCATCATGTCTCGTTGATTGCTTTACCCAATACCCAACAGACATAATCACTTCACTCTGAAATTGTTTTTATCCGGTGACTTTTTGGAGTAATAAGCTTTTTTCAAAATCCTTTGCCAAATGTTGTTCTTTCTGATCATGATCCAATTATACAAAAAGTCCAGGTTAATGCTCATAATTGTTTGACAGATTTTCATGAAATTTGCCACAGATTGCTATCAATTGACATAACTATATTGTAATTTACCTTAATTGGACTGTTTTAATAGGGGATGGAGGTTTACTAGTTAGTCTGTGGCTTACAGTTCTATTTTAAAATCTGATCTGCCATTCATGTAATATAGTTTACATATTTCTTAGGATTGAGCTGTAGAAATAAAGTTGTCCTTGTCTAACCTGTGACAGTCGACTAAGTGTAGGACAGGATATGTTGATTCAGAAGGATAGTAGCACATCAATAGTACAGTTACACATCATAGTGCCATCATATTGTGGAGTAAAGTTTTCGTGATTTTGTTCTTGGAATTTGCCAACTTGAATTTTCTTTTTATCTAACACGATTTTTCGCTTATCTTACTTTGTATCAGAAAGACAACATTTTTGTCAGATTGATATTTTATGTACTTCTATCATGCCATGCTGATAGCAAAAAAAAT